TCTTTCCCTTTCCTCTCGTTGTTTTTCCCTCAGTGTTTTCAGCTTCCAGGATGGTAGAAGGATCTTTGGGTTTGCTTGACATGGCAACTAAAGTGAGAAAAAAAAAACAAGACCAACAATTACATGTACTGTCTTTGTTAAAAGCCACTTAAAAGCACCAATTTAAGACATTTTTTAAGTGCCTTACCTCTTGGCAGCTGCAGTTCATAGTCTCCAGATGTGCCATCTTCATACTCTTCATAATAGTAGTAGTCATCATCGTACTCCTCCGCCTCGCCATCCTTGCTGTAATCTGCTGTTGTCGCCCTCACGCCCCGGTTCTCCTCCTCCTCTGCTCTCCTGTCTCTGGTTGTGTCCAGGAGGCTGATAACAGAGGTGTGCTGCTGCTTGTTGCTCTGGTAACGGTCTACTGCAGCACCGCTGGCCAGTCTGGACATCACTGAAGGAGCAGGAAAATCAAACGTTATGAATGAGGTCCTCTTTTGAACATATATACACCACAAAAACAAACAACAAAAATCACAATCAGAAAACTCTTCCTCTAGGGGACAACCAGCAGACAGGTTAGTGCATCAAGCTGGGTGAGCCTTCTCGGGCAAGTTGAAACATGTTGTACAGGAAGAAGCTTCAGGCAGGATTTTTTAGGGATGCAGTAATTACCCTGCTGTTCTCTCTTAGGAAATACACCGGATCAGACATTGTCCTTAGGGATTGATTGAGTCAATGCCCAGCTCAGGATGCACTCAAAAGGACGCCAAATTTTAAACTGAGTGACTGAGTTTGACCCGCATGTTTAATGTCAAACAGACTTTCTGAGTTACTGTCCTCAAATTCGTGGACATTGAGATATCGGCCTGGCACACAGCCTTCCCCCCTCTGTCTCTCATAACACACGCACAAAATGCATGGGCAGACAGTTAGCTAATGTCAGGCAAGAATATGAGTTAAAAATAAATGTATCCAGTTACATAAAGCATGCTCTAAAATAAGAGAGATGACCCCATTAGCTCCTGAATAGGCTGGCATCATGAAAACTGTTGCCTAAAAGATTAAGTTTACACGACATGTTATAGCTCGGTTATTATAGAGAGGATTACACTGACAGCCAAGAAAGAGAGAGAGACACACACACACACACACACACGCACGCGCGCGCGCGCGCAGTGATCCATTAATGAACACAGAAGAAACTGGTTAAGTTGCACAGGCACATGAAACGTACCCAACGCGTGAGCCAGCAACAGCGCAACAGCGAAAATCCTCATGGCTTCCAGTAGCTTTAAGTAGAAAAATTATTTAAATTAACAAAAAAAATCTAAAAGTTATATTCCGTCCACCTCTCAGTATTCCTTCCTTTTTTTTTTTTATATGCTTTTTCTTTTTTGTTAATAGAACTCCTCTCTTCTCCTCGCGTCCCTGCGGCCGCTGTCTCCTCTCCAGAAAGACTGGCGACTGAAGCTCACGAGCCTTTTAGCCTAGATAGATATCCCCGCCTCCTGGGTGTTGCCAATAACCACAAGAGCATGTTGCGGCAATTAATTCGTATTTTAACTCAAATTATCCATCATGTTACTTGGTACTCCCAAAGATAGAAAATAAAATACAAAAACTGTCGGGAAATTAAAAGAAACAGGAAACTGAAACTTAATTTAAAAAAAAACAAAAAAAAACAACCTAATCCTTGGTTCCTTTTGTACATATTGACTCATTCTTTCTGTCTGAGTGCCGTCATAGGGTTTGGTTGTGTTTAATCCAGGTAAATCCGGTGGTTAAAGCAGTCACAGATTTAAAGTATGCGTGTCACAGAATCAGAAGTCCAAATATTAAGTAAGATACATTAACAGTCCATACTTACATTTAAGCAAGATAATTCAACAGCGAAGCTGTTGAAGAGGAGGACAGGAAACGTAGTAATACATGACAAAATATACAACTCTGCAGTAAAAACTGGAGATCAGATGATGGGCTTCACTTTGGCTCCAAGTATTAAAAGCGCCTTTAACGGGTACGAAATGTGAGCGCCACCACGTGGTCAAGGATTACACTACACTGTTTAGGTTCAGGTAGTTTCCAGAGTTAGAAACAAGCGAAATTAACTATTTATTTGAAAAATGTTTAACTTTGACTTACTTTTTTTTTTTTTTATCAGCTTTACAGTTAGTCGTGTTTTCAAAATTTCACAACAGACATTTCAATACAAACACCACTTCTTGAAGGGCAGCTGGTTCACAGTAATGTAGACCTCCCAAATCTAAATAAAGAAAGGCTACAAAGCATCATCAGGCCACTGTGATGCCAAAGGTTACTAAAACTTAAGGCCTTTCCTGTGCGTTTCTATTTTCACTTTGTTTTGTGATAACACACGTTCTTTTCAGTTATCTCCCTGCCTTCCCCTCTTGTTTTTTTTATTTCAGGTAACTGCAATCAACTACAATGTTTTTCCACACAGACTTGGGTAATTTGAGAAGCGAGGTGATGAGGTGGTTAAAACTGTCAACTCACAACGTGAAGGTTCTTGGTTCCCAGGGCTTCTTGTCTGTCTTACTTCTCTCCATGTACTCCAGCTTCTTCCGCAGTCCACAGATGTGCAATTTAGGGTTAATTGATTATTTTAAATCGACCATGGATAAGTGTATAGCATAGTGCTGCATAAATGTATGTTTCAAATTGCTTTGAATGGTCAGTAAGTCTAGAAAAGTGTTGTATAAATGCAAGTGCATTACATTACATAGAGGAGTAATGGTAGATTTTCTAAGTGCAAAAGGAAGGACGGCAAGCTCCTAATACGTTTATTCACTGCCAGTTGATCTTTTTACTACTGGTGTCATGCAGTTCTGAGGTAACAACAATTATTCACAAGAAAATTATCTTTTGATTGCAATGTGAAATTCTCCCTTCAGCTCTCAAGTGCAAAAAATACCATCAATAGGTTAATAGCACAAGTGCTTCAACTGGATTAAAGTATAGTCTGACTTCATGGATGGCTGTGTTAACATTCTTAGAATTAATAATTAAAGTTGGAGTCAATTTAAAGCAACACAAAACGGATCAAATAAAGATAAAATAGATACACAATACATCAGTATCACAGCTTTTGATGTTATTACTACTGCTGGTTTTCTAGAGATTTATGAGCTTTACTTCTAAGTGCATATTCTTACGATTCCCGTCACAGTAAAGCCTCTTTGGCTAAAGCTTAACTACGTTGTAGTGTGTGTTGAGGTCACATGTAGGTCGGCTGCTCACCACGTATGGGGGTAATGAATATGTCTGCCCTTTGTACTCTTAGGCATAGACTAACTCTGATGTGACCGTAGACAATAAATCTGGTGCGCCAGAATGTCATACTAATGCGATTCTTTTAAATACACGCACAGTGATGATGCAAGTCTGATCAGAAACCGTTTATTTCCAGGCCAGGGAGCAAGAATGAGAAACAATTCTAAAAACATAATAAAATTACCACCGAGCCTAGATAAAACAATTCTAAAACTGGTAAGAATGCAATTTTCTGTATGCACTAAAAATCCCACCCAGTCCCACAACCCAGGACGAATGTTCGTTATGGGTTCACAGGCCAGAAATTCCTCTTGCGGAGCTGCGTGCATGGCAGTCCCGTCCCAGGCAGACGAGGATGAGCCTGCTATCCCCTTCTCGTCCCTTTACTGGGCCCATCACATCCCAGCTCAGCTCGCATTCTGCACTGAGTCCGTTGCTCGATCGCCTCCCCTCGCGTCATCGCCCTGTAAGTAAACAAATAGGGGCCACAACCATCGTCCTGGAAGCTGCCCTGGCTTATAGCCATGGCGACCCTCTCCCAACACGGCTGCACCCGGTGAACAACAGTGGAGACGCTACTCACAAATGCTGTCAATCACAGGCGTTGTCTCCTATTGTCGCCGTTCCTGCTGTCTGGACTGCGTCGCTACGTCACACTCACCTGTCCGTCTCCAGATGAGGCGCCGCACCCCCGCGATCAGGCAGTGATTCCCCCTACCTATCTATCTATCTATCTATCTATCTATGAATGAATGAATGAATGAATGAATGAATGACCTGGTCTTCTTGTGTTCCTTTTCATATCGTGTGCCTCTGTCATGCCAAGCCCCAGTCAGCTTCCTTTTAAAGGGTCCCTTAAACAGCTGATAGGCCACCTCTGGACACACCCATGTCTCAGGTGATCACTATCAGCTAATTTGTCCCATGCCCAGCCAGTCCACAGTGGATTAAAACAATGTCAAATAAGCCACTAAAAACCATGCAATACAAACAGAATAAAATCATGCAAATAAAAACTAAACTCACAAATAAAGACTAAAAAACAGAATAAAACCAATATAAAAGATAAATACAAATTTCCTCTGTGTGACATGAACATTCAATCTTAAGTAACATGACTTTTTCTTCTTCTCTATCTTCTTCTGTCATCTGCTTCCTTCCGCTTCCACAGCAAATGATCTGCACCCATCTCACTCCATCCTTACCATCCTCCTCTGTCAGCCCTCTGCATCTCCTCCTTCACTACATCCACAAACCTCCTCTAAGGTCTTCCTCGTTTCTCTTTTATTCTTTCCTGCCTGGCAGCTGCATTTAGCATCCTTTGTCCCATATGTCCACTATCCCTTCTCCAAACCATCTCAGCCTGCCTCTCTAACTCTGTCTTCAACCCTCTCAACTCAAGGTGTCCCTCGAAAGTAATTGTTTGTCCCTACTGGTCACTCCCAATGAAAATCTTTATCTTTAGTTCTGGCTCCTGTCCTGTGACCCACACGAACCCAACACACTAACCTGAAAGGCAAAACTAAAATTTCATTGACTGTGAATAAATAAAAACGCGATCTTTAGTTATTAGATATTTGTCAGTCCGCCACTCTCCAGCCAAGTCCAACAGGTGGCAGTGATTTAACTCCAGTGTGTTTTGCTAACCGCCAATGAATCAAAAGTAAAAGAACGTCAGGCCTCACAAGCGTCGCTTATTGGTTTAAGGCGATCACGTGAATTATACGCGAGAAAGGGGGACGGGGGGAGGGCAAACATGGCTGACGAAGCAGGGGAAGTAAACACAGCTGTTACAGAGCGCGACGAAAAACAAGAACAAGATGAGCCCAAAGTTTTACGACCAGCGACTAATGGCGAACCGGATGGGGGCAGCGAGCAGGACTGGACCGAGAGGCAGGCTTCCCAGGTCGCAGAGGAGAACAGCTGGTCGGCTCCTCTCCTGTCTCTGGCTCGTAAGGCCACAGAGACGATTAGCAGCGGGATCAGCTACGCTGCCATCCAGAGAAAGCCCTCACAGGGATACGCGGCGAGCTCCCCGACCGAGAATGAGGCCGAAAGTGACCTCAGTAACTCAGCGAAAAAGCTTCCAGGTAGACTTTGATTTTTCTGATGCCTGCTAGTTAATGCGCTTTAAGATCGAACCATTGCGGCTGTCACAGGCACTTGAAACACTGTATAAGTGTCAGCTGTCACATCACATGACTCCAAGATCAGACTCTTGGTTTTTTTGGTTAGTGAAGTGCTCCTTTTCCGGCTATGTCATCTGACAGAATTAACCTCAGAGCTTCTCCTTTTTTTCATGCTTTCTGTACAGTTGTTCCCCCCAAAGACTCAATGGCAATAGAAAGATCCAACCTGCTCAGCATGCTGAAGCTCAGCATCAGAGTGTTGATTCAGTCTTCTATGAGTCTGGGCAGGACGCTTGACTCGGAGTACCCTCCTCTGCAGCAGTTTTTTGTTGTCCTGGAGCACTGCCTCAAACACGGTCTTAAAGGTTAGACGTAAATAAATCTGACTTTTGCTGTTGTGCTATATTTAGCTGCCTGCATGCTGAAGTTAATTCTGCATGTTGTCTGATTCAGCCAAGAAATCCTTCATTGGTTACAACAAGTCTATATGGGGACCACTGGAGCTGGTAGAAAAGTTATGCACGGAGTCTGTCAACATCGCCACCAGTGCCAGAGACATGCCTGGCATTAAGTATGCCATTAAATGCCATTATATTATTTCTATAATAAAACTGCATCGCAACTGAGTTTAATTGTACTTATACTGTCATTCTTGTTTTTTTTTTTCTTAGGACTGGTTTGGGGAGAGGAAGGGCTTGGCTGCATTTGGCGCTTATGCAGAAGAAAGTAGCCGACTATATGAAGGCCCTGCTGGACCACAAGGACCTCCTGAGGTCAGTTACACTTGTTTTATAGTGCATTATAAACATGGGTTTCTTCCTAGCATCCACTTTACCTTTTAAATCCCTTAGTGAGTTTTATGACTTTGGAGCACTGATGTTGGAAGACGAAGGGTCGGTAATGGTGGGGCTGCTGGTGGGCCTCAACGTAATTGATGCTAACCTTTGCATTAAAGGGGAGGACCTTGATTCACAGGTTAGTGATGCTGTTTTGTAAGAATCAGTTTCACTCTGAGGAAGAGTTGGATCGAGATACAGAGTGATCTGCTCTTCTTTCCCGTTTAGGTAGCAGTCATCGACTTCTCACTTTATCTGAAAGACTCTGCTAGCAATGAGACTCCAAAAGAGTAAGCATCTACACTGCTTTACATTATTTTTTTAATCTGGACTGTTCTATATTGTTATTACTGTTTAAAGCATGACCCCATATTAAAAAATCCTTACTAAACTTTGGTTAGATATGTCTCACAACTATAAGATGGTAATTGTATCGCTCCCTTCCTTAGTGATTCGAAGATGACAGCCATATTGGATCAGAAGCACTACATTGAGGAGCTAAATCGTCACCTAAGCGGCACCGTCACTGACCTTCAGGCTAAGATGGACTCTCTAGAGAAGACTAATAGCAAGCTTGTAGAGGAGGTTAGGCGTGCTTTGTGTGTGCAGCTGTGGGACTGTGTTCGCACTGGATTGATCCTCTTTAACATCAGCTTGTGTGTGTGTGTGTGTGTGTGTGTGTGTGTGTGTGTGTGTGTGTGTGTGTGTTTTCTCCTCTTCTTCAGCTGACAGCTGCCACAGACAGAATCAACTCTCTACGGGAAGAACAGGAACAGCTGAAAAAGGAGAACGAGACGATCTTGCAGTCCAGCCAGAGAAAAGAGGAGGTGTGGGGGGGGAAAAAGTGTCTAGGACTAACTGCAGCTGAAGCCCCTCCAGATTTTAAGAAGGAATGAAAAATGCCATGTTTTTATTTTTCAGGCAGTGCTTCAGGACAGCCAGGCAGAGCTGGAGACATACAAACAGACTAGACAAGGCCTGGATGAGATGTACAATGTGGTGTGGAAGCAGTACAAGGAGGAAAAGCGCATTCGCCAGGTCAAGTATCAGTGACCTCCAGGACAGACTGAACCAACACTCCACACCTGGTGTTTTTGGGTTTTGACTCAACTCTAACTGAATTTGACTCCCTTGTGTATTAGGAGCTGGAGCGTGAACTGGAGCTGCAGGTGGGGATGAAGCAGGAGATGGAGGTGGCCATGAAACTGCTGGAGAAGGATACGCATGAGAAACAGGACACGCTGGCAGCCCTACGGCTCCAGCTTGACCAAGTCAAGACTCTCAATGTGCAGATGTTCCACAAAGCTCAGGTATAAATAGATGAGCATGATTATAACTTTGTCTTTCGCACTTACACACACACACACACACACACAGATTGCGCATTTGTCCAAATCGTGTGGTTTCTCAGGACTCGGACCGCCAAGCAGAAAAAAAGCAGGCAGAGGCCGTGCAGCTTGAGCAGAGGATGAATGAAATGGAGAACACCATGAAGGAACTTGAGCAGAGGTATGCGTGCTTGCCTAGGTTGAGATTCAGTTTCGCATTTACATTCCTTTAATAAATTGACGCTCCTCTTCATATTTTGTGACTCATAGACTACAGAGATCGGAGCAGGAGCGCAAGCAGAACGACCAGTCGGACGAAGACATGAAGGTGGAGCTGCAGGGAAAAGTCGATGCTCTGCAGAAACAGCTAACAGATCTCGATACGCTAAGGTGAAGAAATACAATTGTGGGTGGGGCGGGGGGGTTGAGTGTGGTATTAAGCAGTATGTAGAGAAAAGGTTCATAAAAGGGCAAAGTTGCAAATGTGATTCACCTAAAATGTTTGTTCTCAAACTTTTCAAACATTGTGTAGATCGAGTCCATGCAGTAGTTTGCAGTTTGATGACTTGAGTCACATTTTTGTGTTTTCGGAGCACAGGCTGGGGTTGGAGAACGAGCTGCGCAGTGAGAGGGAAGAGAGACAGAACTTGCAAAAAGCTCTCCAGAGGGAGCAGGACAACAGCACCGAACTGCACACACAGCTGCAGCAGCTCCAGGGCCTGCACTCGGTCAGCATCTCTCAAACACACACACAACCTGTGTCACGTTACACTTGCTCGGATCTAAATAGGCGAATTATAGCGATGGAAAAAAATGTGTGCGCTCTTGACAAATGAAGTTTTATTTTCAAAGTGAAAGGCAACCTACAGCTGCAGCTAAGATTACTCCTACACACAGGCATAAAATACTGTAATCCAATGCCAACATTTAAAATGTGTGATTGGCTTTGTAGAGACTGCTTCTAGACTCTAGCAATGAAGCTACATTGCTAGAGTTGGCTACAAGTCAGAATAAGAGCTTTTTTTTTTTATTCTTATGTTCATTAAAAAGTACCTTTTGTAATTATGGCCTTCAAAATGCAGCAACGCCTTTCACCACCAGGGAGCAGTGTTTTACCAGTGGGTGTGTTGAGATGTTTTTGAATGTGTGGTGCTATTCTTTTAACTTTAGATACTCCTTTGTGTCCAAGGTTCTTAAGAAGCTTTTCCTTTTGTAAAAGAGAACGTGCTCATCCTGACTTACCTGGTTATTAATTCAATTGGCTTGATGTACCATCTTGTGGTACAAGGTGGTATTACAAGAAAGTACTGTGCAGCCCCAATCCAACTTCACTGAATGTCATCAACACAGTACATAGATGTTTTAGATTAAAAGTTATGCGGTTTGTTGTTGGTTATTTCTTCAAGTCTGCTGGTAACGTTTCATATTTTAAACACAGGAATTTAGAAACTGTACCTTTCAGCTTCATCACCAGCGAATTATATATTTATGCCAGATGACATTACCTTAAAGAAATAGTTTATTTTACAAAAATATTATTTGTATGACAGCTTTAACAAAGCCTCCCTCCTGTTTCATCCTCTTGTAAGCGGTGTAAGAGCATATTACAAATTCTTGAACATAAATGGGATGTTATGACCTTTTTTTCTTTTGCTTCTTATGGATCGACTTTGCAGGAGCTGCAGGAGTTGAAGCAGGAGAAGCAGCAACTGCAGCAGAAGTGCGAGCAGCAGGAACAGGCTCTACAAGAAATGGGACTGCATCTCAGCCAGTCAGTAACTGCGATGTTTTTCTTTTTTTTTTCTTACTAAGGAATGCCATTTCACGTAGGAGAATTTATGCCACTTTCATCTTTCTCAAAGGTCTAAACTGAAGATGGAAGATTTCAAGGAGGTCAACAAGGCCCTGAAGGTAAAATGTTAAAGAGTCGAGGGTGGTTTACTTTTATTGTTGACGCTGTAAGACTTGGAATGAGAAACCATTGCTCTTCTCAGGGCCACGCTTGGCTGAAAGATGATGAAGCCACTCAGTGCAAACAATGCCAGAAGGAGTTCTCCATCTCACGCAGAAAGGTACGTTCCGCCCACCCCCATTACATTTCACTTGAGAGCCGCTTCCGTTAACGTCCGCAGTCACATAAATGTTTCCACGTCACGCTGTATGTTTTGCATGCGCAGCACCACTGCAGAAACTGCGGAGACATCTACTGCAACAGCTGCTCCAGTAACGAGCTGGCCTTGCCTTCGTATCCACGGCCTGTGCGAGTGTGCGACGTGTGCCACTCCCTGCTGCTGCAGAGAAGCTCCTCCACAGGTTCCTGACGACATACCCACAGGCTTTAATGTTTTCTCCACACGCTCCAACACTGAATATACTCATTTAATGAATTTAAATACTTGTGTTATGAAAAGGAAAAAGAAAAAAAAAAGGCGGGAATGTGATTTGGTGTTCCATTGATGCAGTTACCTGAAATTCAGGCATTTTATTTGTACTGACAATGGTCGCCTTTAACATTGACAGGATGGATTTTAATAAAAAGTAGTTTATGCAGACTTTATGCTAACAAGACTTTGCATAGACATGGAAAGGCTTGAGTATCTGCCACCAGTGTTTCCCTGGGTTGGATTAACAGAGTTTAACAAATGTGGTAATCTCTTGATAAACTGGCCTTTTGATATGTGCAGTTTTTCTAATTCAAACTGTGGATGTACTGTTGGGATTTCAGCTTGAGCTGAGAATCTCTGCTGTTTGCAGGTTTGTGTACTCACAGAATGTAAAGGCACACTGCTTTCTTTATTTAGGATGATTTTCAAAATAAATTTAACAGAAATAACCTGAATATTTTACTTTTGTCTTAAAAGATTATATTTAAACCTTTGTGAAAATCCTGAATTAGAGGGGTGCATTTTTAATTCTGGAAGTGACTTTGATATTCAGCCTTGTTATGCACTTTCCCCCTCCCCCTTTTTAAGATCAGCTCTAACCCCACTGCTGGATGCAGGCAGAATTGTGTAAATGACTGTAGAATGTTGGCAACAGCAACACTATTTTAGAATGTATTCTATCAGGATTTTATGGATCACGTCAACTGCTACAACGCCATTTTCTTAATTTGACTTCTTTTAACTTTAGATATTTGATAAATGAATAAAGCCTCCTGTTTTTCCACCACTTGTGTCAATTAGATATTCCAGACTAGTTTATTCACTTTGTGCACAAGAAATACAAACAGCATCTGAAGCAGTAGAAACCTTCATGGTAGCAGATTTGAAATGAACTTGCTCTCTGTATAGCCCTCATCCAGGAACAGAAAAAGAGCACTAACAGTCACACCATAAGAAAACAAAACATGCTTTGACCATGTTAAGTCCCAAACCTAGATTAACATTTTGTACAGGAATTTAAAATGAAGCTGAACACTATGTAAAAGGTGAAACAAGGTCCAAACATTAGAAGATACTGGACATTTTCAGTTTCTGTTCATGCACTCGGACACTAAAACGTTTTGTTAAATCCACCAGCACAGGATGAGTTAACCGTGCTTAAAGAACGGTAACACAAAACGGCACGCTTCCAGGGAAAGATAAACTTAAAGCACAGTTTATGTTATTTGTAAATCTGTGAGGAATGGGGAAGACAAACATCACTTTGACACATTTATTGTGACGAACATATGATCTCACTGCTCTCTGAAGATCACCCACTTAAAAAAAACAAAACAATAATAATACAAACCCTACCCTTTGTTTTCCCCCAAAACAACCCCACCAGACCCTATCTGAATTATTACGAGAGACTTGCATTTCCAGTCCTTTCAGCAAAATGCTGAATTAAAAAAAAAAAAACTAAATGCGAAAAGAAAAAACTACATTCCCCATCCCCCACCCAGTCCATTCATTGAGCCTCTGCTTCCTCCTCCACCGCCGCCATAGTAACTGCTTCCCATTCCGCCCTGGTTACCTAACAAGAGAGAGAAAATACACACTATAGGACCGAGGAGTTCATCAAGGAGTCACGCATAGAACGACAAAAGCTTTCCAAGTTTAAAGGGCTGAATTAGCCTGGATCCAAGATGACAGAACTACACAGCACCTTCTTCCTTAGAACCCAGTGTCATTAAATACATTACACAGCAGTTTTGGAAGCAGCTGCTTCAATTTTTTTTTTTTTTTTTAAATGATGGGGAATAACAGCACTCCTCTGGTAATTAACCACTGTTTCCACCCTTTGCAACACTGTAACAACCCAACTTTAGGACACTTTTTAACTGCAGATTTTTCTTTACTGTTACTACCGTATGTTAAGTAACAATATAACTATTATTTATTTCAAAGTGTGCTTCAGAATTAGCCAGCTAATAAAAGAAAGGTGTTTTACAAGGCCAGTTTAAGGTGTTACTGAATATTTATGACTTAAAAAAAACAAAAAACAAAACAAAACAAAAAACAACTTAGTAGCATCTCATTTGGTGCCAGACAGCAACCACTTACAGCTGTCACGAGTTTAAAAATAAACAAAACAGTCACAGTACACAAATAAGGTTTTATGGCACCTTCACCTAGGACAACTTCAATTTCACTTATCAGAGAAAAGGGTTAGACTATAAGTCTTTGCTCAAACCTTTAAAGGTTCTGTAAAGAAATATATTTTAGGAAATACAACAGAGCTGACACTCACTATAGTCACTGTAGCCACCCATGTTTCCTTGGCTGCTGTATCCACCAGAGTACCCTGAGCTCAGCTGGCCTCCACTATAGGATGACTGGCTCCCTGTGGAAACAAATCCCATTGGGCTGTATGAGTAAACCAACAGATACACAAGCATTTTAAGGGAAATAACACAGGGCCCTATTTTCAATATCACTAAAACCTTGACTCACCCATGCCCCCCATCATCTGGCTGCTGTATGCTCCATTACTGCCACCTGCTGTTGAGTTCAAAAACAGCTCCACGTAGCGGTGCTCTGCAGAACAGGAACAAAAATCATAAGAATTAACACGCAGCTTTAAAAGGGTGGGGTGCTCAAGTTATTTTTTTAAAGCAAACTCACGCATGTTAGCTTTATCTTTGGACATGGCTGCTACAGCATCTTCGTGTGTTGCAAACTCTACATCTGCCTCCCCGGTAACTCTGCCATCTGGGCCAATCTCAATATGGACCCGCACCGGATTCAAAGGTGAAAAGAACTAAAAAAGACGAAAAATAAATAAATGCACAAATCACAAGTGTTGTCTGCTTTTAAGCCCCTGCGGCGACACAAAAGATAACAAAGAACTGTCAGTGATCTCTCAACAACTTACATTGTAGATGTCTGTTTCTGTGGCTCTGTATGGCAGGCCCCTCATATGTACACAGTGGCCTGTTGTGCTCTGAAAGGAAGAGCCGCCATCGCCATACCGTCCATCCGATACACCTGAACATACATAAATGGAATTAACACAAGGTCTTATGAGGATTTTATCCTAATCTTATTAATTGTTATATGAATTGTTAAGCATGAAGAGACATGAGGGGGTGTTTATTTAAAAGAAACTTCATGGGTAAAGACCAGTAAATCTGATTTCACCTGCTCTCCAGTCCCACTTGGACCCACCTCCTCCGTAGCCTCCTCTGCGCATTCTGTCATAGGACCCCCCTCGGCCCATCATGTTGTAGCCGCGTCCACCAGAGGGCCGGTCATAGGGGCCGGGTCTCTGCATGCCCATAGGCTTCCTCTGGGGTTCGTAATGGGTCCGCACCTCAGCACGGCTACTCTTGAAGATCTCAATGTACCTGAGAGCATACAGATACCACAGTGAGGGCATGGAGAATGGGTGAGAAACTGCATTTGCTTAATACTGGTGAAACTGGGCTATGCAGATGCTGTCATGGTGTAGTCCATAGGTAGTAATAGATTTAAGTACTTATTGCTAGTCGTTAATAAAGAAGATTAAAAATAACTTATTTACTGATCAATAAGGAAGTTGTCCAAATTGATAAGGGCCTCAGTGAGTTTTACACTTTTCTTATGGTTACCTGAAGCGACTCAGATCTGTTTCAGTGTTTCAATAGTGGTATGTGTCGTTGCCATGACAGCTTTTGTCCTGGTTTTAGAGGCACAAAGAGAGCTCCAGCCCTTCTGCAACCCACTAAGCATTACCTGTGACAGTGGGCTCCAGATCCTTGTGTACAGTGGCCCTCTGATTTTTACTAGCAGGGAGACTCCTTACCATTTATCAACCTGGACTCATTTTTAGTGCTGAGACACCATTTGTTCTCCAAATCGGGCATGCACTCCATTTCAGGATTCGCCTCATATTTTTGAATGGTGACCAAGCACTAATCTTCCCCCTGAACATTGTGAATATATATATATTTTTTTAAAACGTGGATCTAAGATAGCAACTTGTGTGTATGTGTGTGTGTGGTAAATATGACAAATATGCTTCAAGTAGCCAAGATAAATGTGTCAGTTTTGCATTTGGTTCAGATGTTGAAGGTGCACACCATAAGAAAAGCAACTTATCCAGCCAACCAACCAACCATCCCCACCTGTGCCCTATTCTTTCCTTGTGTTTCTTTAGAGCCTTTTCAGCTATATCCTGTGAAGCAAACTGCACGAAGGCCTCCCCCGTACTCCTCCCCTGGATGTCCACCGGCAATGTTATCCCATTTGGCACGATTTCCAACCCTTCAACCCAAGGACAGATAACCCCAGCAGGGGACATATTAAATCACATGCCCAATCACAGAGAGAACTTTCTCTAAAGAGAGAGATATTAGACTTATGGAAAACTCTATACATCATCACACATACCAATTCATTCCTTTTTTGTGTCTTTTTTCTTTTTCTTTTTTTAAACCAGTGACTTTCCATTTAATTTAGTTACATTTACTGTATTCTAGGGGATAAGATAGAAATGGCAGGATAGAGGAAGACTATGAAGAAGGGCACTGTGTGGGGGATATCGGGCTAGTATTAATGTGCTGATGAGGAGGGTCTAGGTGGGTGACATGAGGAAAATTCGTGGTTGCTCTTTCGTTAAATCTAAGAATTGGCATATCCTCCTGAGAACTGAGGAAACAGGAATCTTTCCATTGAACTTTTTTGGTGATTTCCTTCCTCTTTGGAGCTGAAAGAGGCCACCCAAACACATGGGATATCAATGGAAAGCCCACAATGTCCTCTATTAAGTACATCAGGACTTAATATGATAGCTCAAATAAGTCAAAGATATAGACCAGAGGGCATGAGTGAATAGGCTGGTGCTCAGGAGGATATACTGGGTTTAAAAAAAAAAAACTTTTAAAGATAAAATTATTAATACATGGTGGGGAAGAAAAAAAAAGTTTAAAAAAAAATTTGAAGACAGAGGCTATATCAGTGATGAGCGGGACCCACTCAATAACTAGTGTATTACCATTAGGCTGAGACTATTTTAAAATGTTTCCACATAATGGGGGGAAAATGTGAAGAAGGCTGAAGATGAAAATGAGGGGCAAAGATAGGAAAGGGTGTTTGCATAACAGATCCCTGCCCTTGTACAAAACATCAGGTCTTCAAATAAATTCTCTATTTAAACTTCAACTGGCTTCCTTTTCCAGCATCATTTCCTTCATTCATTGTTTTTAAGTGTAACCACATTAGATTGTCATTTACAATGGCATACTGACTTCTTCGTAAATTAGATGCAACAAGTTTTGGTGTCGGTAACCAGAAACAAGAAAAGGAAGATCGGAGGGGAGAAGTTTAAATTACCAGCATTAAGGGGGTTTATATTTAACCAGCGAACAAGGTTTGTTGTTACCTGAGAAAAACTGCACAATTTCCTCCTTGCTGCACCCGAAGGGAAGGCCCCGAAGCCGCACAAGCCCGTCCCCAGCTGTCTCTGGACAGTTTGGGCCAGTGTGCTTCATGACCCAGTCCATTTCCACATTGTTTGATTTAAACACTATATCAGAGAAGAGAGAAATTACTTCGCTCAAACTGGTAACTTATATAGCATTTATCAGACATTAACTCAGCTGTATGCTGTTATACGCACCTTCTACATATCTGTGACCCATCGTTTCTCTGTCCTTTTTCACTGCAATCTTCAGGTCTTCTTCTGTCTCAAATTCAACGAATGCCTCTCCGCTGGGACGCCCCTCTCTTGTGTAGGTGAAATGGATGCCACTTCCATTGTTT